AAAGTGTGGAATTTTTCACAGCAGTAAGAGTGGATGCGAGGAAATTTAAAACAGAATCATGTCGCCATGTAAACCGGCCTTCGTCTAAATATGTCTTACATCCAGGAATCACATGGAGCAGCGTTTCAGGTGAGGAGCAGAAAGAGCAATCGGATGTTGATGATAGTCCCCATTTTGATAGGTTCTTTCGTGTTGGAAGTGTGTTATTGATATATCGGATGGTGAAGTTAAAAATGTTTTTCGGAAGTTTGCTCTGAACGGATGACCATAAAGAGTTGAATGTGGATGTGGAATGATTCATGATACTGGAAAAGAAAGAACCTTGCGAAATGAGGTGGTTTTGAAGTCTTTGTTCGTTTTCTTTTCTAACTGCCGTAAGTACGTCTTTTGTGTCTTTGTAAATGTCATACTGTATGTTCTTGTTGGTGCTCGTCGCCGCCCATAGATTGTTAATATCTACGTTTGGTGAGTATTTTAAAGCTGATCGAGAGACAGTTTGACATTGGATAAATTTTGTCGAAGGGAGAATAATATTCAGACCAAATTTGTTTTGTGGAAGCAACACGTTGCTAAGGGTTGCAGAGACAGGAAGTTCCAGCCATTTTTGGATATATTTTGTCGCAATACTGTCTAACGTTTCGCAGATCCAGGTCTTAGATATATCAGAAACAGTGAAGTCCCAGGATATCTTTGACAGCAAGTAACGACTGTATAGTAGAATTTTATTTTTCGGGTGTAAAGGTAGTTCATTAATTTTATTCATGATGTCATTAAACACGTCGAGTAATTCCGATATGTGTTCCTCATCAGACATATTGAAATCGAAATAGCGACCTAAGTAACGGAAAGATTTGCCCATTTCGGTTCTGGGTACAAGATCGTTATTAACGAAAAGCTTGGGTAAATACTGGATAGATTTAGTTAAGTGTTTTTTAATGCCAAATGTTGAACATTTGTCAACGCGTATAATCATATTAGCCCATTGACACCAGATTGTAAAACGATTAAGGAGCATTTGATTTTCTTTCTCTTGGCTACTGATGACAGCAGCATCGTCTGCAAACTGAAACCAATGTATAGGATTGCACGGAATGCCAATTTCACTTAATTTCCAAAAACCAAGCTGACGGTATTTTTCAGATTTAATATGTTGTATGAAAGTATTGAATGACATGTTGAATAAAAGTGGACTGAGACAATCGCCTTGAAGAACGCCACGACCGACTGTAATGAAGGGGGTGTTAAACTGTTCGGTTATGATGGAAGTTTGGAAATCAGTGTAAAGACTGCAGATAAGGTTCTTTATGTGATTAGGAACGTGATGATAATCAAGGACTTCGTAAATGAGGTTGTGATGGACTTCGCCAAATGCATTTTTAAGATCGAGTAATGTAATAACTATAGATCGTTGCTTGGTACGCGCTGTGTTAATTATATGTGCCATCTGAGCAGTATGTTCTAGTGTTCCTGAGAGTTTTGGAGTGAAACCTTTCTGGATGTTTTGTTCTATGTAATTATTGTCTGACAGGAATTCAAATGTTTTATTTCGAAGACATGATGTGAAGACTTTAAGCGGGATGGATTCAAGAGTAATTGGTAAAAAGTTTGCTCGGTCGTTTGTTTCTCCTTTCTTGTGAATTAATATTGTGCATGCTTTTTTCCATTCAGATGGAACAACACCGCGTGACCAAGCTGCATGGATTATCTCAGTCAAGTAGGAACGTAGATACGGACATCGTTTAAAACAGATTATTGATATCTGATCAAGTGGGCATGGTGAGCCAGACAGTTTCATTTTACGTATGACGTTTGTAATCTCTTGATAGGTCGGGGGGTCAAGCTTAAAAGGTGTTTGAGGAGAAGAAAATTTTGGGATCCAACTAGGAATATTGAATGTTTTATTTGGGTTAATCGCGGAGAATGTTTTGGTAAAATAGGATGTACATTGCGCTAAATTAAATGATGGAAGTGAACTGGTATTCTTTTTGAAAAATTTTTTAACGTAACCCCAGAAGTTTTTACCAATTAGATTATCGTGATCAATGTCTGCAGATGCATGACTATCAGAATTATGTAGTTCCGTATTATTTGACTTATTAAGGAGGATGCGCAATTTCTTCGCGACAAATTTTATCTCCAGAATACTACCGTTTTCCAGTTTTAATTTCTTTAAAGCTTTTTTTAAATCCTTTGTTGAAAATGTTTGGTATTTTCTTTCGAATTCTACACTGCTATTGTTATCAACATGACCAAAATTCCCACTAAAGTAATTGTAGACGACGGTTACCATGGTATTGATGTTGTTATTTAGATCATCCGGTGTGATTGGGTGATTCAAAAAAGTTAACTTGAAAAAGTCGTTGGCAGTTGACCATTGTAATGGCGATTTGGGTAGTTTTATCCCCCTTTTTAAGTCGGGAAAGTTTTCTTGGGTGTTCAAAGGTGATATTTCAGGGTTAACTGGTTATTATTATGATAATAATAATAATGGAAACTTTATTACTTTCAATAATATATATACACACTACAATGATAAACCTCTCTTTACAGGTAGTTTACCAGTGTCTACTTGAATTAACACTCTACATAATAACAAAATTAGTATGACATTAGTTGTGGGTTATCCCATTCTTTGTTACGCTTACAGAATATATAATACGAGGACCTGATACATATATTAATAATTTTCCGAACATAGTACTTTCTACATTGTTCATCATACTTTAGATCTAATAATAATAATAATAATAATAATAATAATAATAATAATAATAATAATAATAATAATAATAATAATAATAATAATAATAATAAAACCGAGGAGAAATTTTAGCATGTGCGATATGTGAGTCTGACTAAAATAATACAGTTTGATTTAGTACAGATCGACTAAATGTATCGAGGTCCTATAATCGAAATCATTGTTTACATACCTGATACCTACACTGACAATTCCCACAAACTATAAGATAACCATAAGTATATGGCAGGATTGGCAGCATCTGTTATAGGGATTATATTGCCATTGCCATTGATTTTCAACCATTCCAAACATTGCCATTGATTATAAAGCCGCTATGCTTGGTTTAAATTTAGCACTTTGCTTCGGAAACAAGTGAGAGCATTTGCTGCATGCCTTGCTAATTGTGAAATTGGGCGATTGGGTCCCATTTCTAAAGACCTAAACACTGTCAAATGCCTTTCAAAACCACAAGTACAGAAACATCAAATACAGTACACCTCTGGAATGTTGTTGCCATGGTTTTACCACTGACCTCTATATAATATGTGTACAGGTGTAAAATATCAGCCGTTCCTTGCGTTATCAACAATATAGTGTTGTAATTATCAACAGTTATCAGCAATAAGTTAATTAATGGGTTGTAACCCTAACCCTAACCCCCACCCTAGCCATAACCTCTAACCCCCACCCTAACCTCTAACCCCCACCCCCTAACCCTAAAGCGGGTGAAGTTTGCCCAAACCACCTTTAGACAACTTGATTTGTGTCACCATAATCTTGTGTGTTTAATATATATTATTAAGTACAGTAACACATGGGTTGGGTAAAAATTATTTTGAGCAATGTCGAGGTTGGGAAATAAAAAAATTACAGTGTTTTTCGCTTCTCTTCGGTACCAACCCCAGGTATAAATAATGAACGGTCCCTTATGGATAATCATATTGAAGTTCAATTTGATTACCAACACCATGCAAAGAACGTACAAAATCCCCCCCCCCCGTCGGTTACATGCAAGTTTGGCTAAATTAGTCGATTGTTGGGAACTGCATGTCTTGATTAATAAGTATAATAGATAACATGGTATGAATAATAGAACGACGGCGCATGGTAGTACCAGATCAAGGATGATTTAGTCCGAGAGAGTACGTAAATACTTCGCTCCAACTAGCGCCAATCTGTGTCAGACACGAATACGAAGGTATTACGTAAGTATTTGCGATTTATTGTCTAAGAAAGTTCTCGTGATAGACGGATCCCGAATTCAAACTGAGTTACATTTCAACATAATTTTTACACCGAAATTGTCTGCCACGCTATATAATAGCACTTCTTTCGCAAGTGTTTCATATATCAAGAAAACAGAAACAAATCCGACGTAAGCCTCATCGCATTTTCATAAAATCACTTAACCCTTACCAAAAAATTCAAAATTTTCCAATTGTAATTCCGGCTGTGAATAGGAATGGTATATAAATATTGAATTTTTTTGGCATCCCAGGCCTCGATAGGACTAGCAGTTGAATGGTTTATGCTTCGAACGGAATTAAGATCATATACAATTTTAGACTGGTTAGGTCTAATTGAATTGAATTTTAAATAAATTTTTATTTGTCAATTTTAGTCTGGTTAGGTCATCTGCATTGATTTTGACGTGCAGTTTCCTTGAAACGTATATATAAAGGTCCGGACACACCGGACGCGATTCGACAACGCGACATGATTTTTTAGTGTTTGAAAGTTAATAAAACAGCCAAGGAGAGCACATTTTAAAAGATATGTATAACGCTTCTATAAATATTTGGAAAGTTTAAACTGGGGTAAAAGTTATTGGTCAGTGAAAATAATCGAAAAATCGCGTCGTGTTATCGAATCGCGTCCGGTGTGTCTGGCTTTATAAATGCAAATTAATTTCGCTTTGAAAGCAGGTTAAAATATGTAAAGAATGTTCTTCCTGTGTTGTTAAAATATGTAAGTATAATCTTCCGTTTACGTTAACGTTAACGTTAACGTTAACGTCAGCACTTAGCTATTTTCTTCCCTTGAAATGTAATATAAATATAACCGCGTGTTTATCTAATAATATTGTTCACACATCTCTATACTAAATACCATAGGCAAAAGGGTCAATTTCTAAATGAACAACTTCCATTTTAACACAATCCTAATTCCCTGACTCTAACCCTACATAAAATTACCATATACAGTAAATAATAATTACCATATAGAGTAAATTCGGTACGTTAATTTGTTATGCCATCCGTCAAGCCGAGTCTTCTTTTACGAGTGGTTTTATTCAACTTAGGTTCAAGGACACTTGGTGACTTAATATCAAGCGACCATCGATAACACTGCAAAAAATATCGGTTCAAATTAGACAAATAATTTCTGTGAAATAGTCTGTTAATTGCATATGCATGATAACGTAATAAATTATATATATGTTTAGCCAAAAAAACTGCGAGGCAATGACTTGACATTTGATCTAATTGGTTTTTCCTGCACAGTGATGCATAATTTTAGGGTTTCCATTTAATTTATCGCCTATCGGTGACAACAGACACAACGTGTACAGGAATCTACAAACTAGCTAGCACCAAACGGTCGAAGTTTGTAAGTAAAAAGCCGTCTTATTATTTCTGTCACGAAAATAGTTTTCCATCTACAGTACCGTCCAACAGAAACTATACATCGAGAGCGAGAAACTTTGGAACGAGTTCGAGCGAGACGGTTCTCGAATCGCGTTACCTATCGAGTTTCGCGAAACGCGAAGTGCGATTCGAGTCGTCGCGATGCGAATTGAGGAAATTTTCGAGTAATGCGATTCGAGTATCGAGTATTCGCGAATTAAGTGCATGATTTAAATGCCTTTACTTATAAGCAAAGAACTGCTTAATTGTATTTATTTCAGAACCATCCACAGACTCGCTCAGAGATATGAAAAACTAGTTTCATATTATTCTTTTTTCATATTCGTGTAGTTCAGGTTAATTGTATTTACCCATGTACGTGTTCCGTTTATATATAAGAGTAAATGTCGTGTGGTAACGATTTAAAACAGCAGTTTGTCCTTTACATGACTTTTAATTGCCGAGCTTGTATATGTCGTTTACAACAACAAATCGCAGAGATGAGGACTCTGACGACAGGTTTGCGATAAATTTATCAGCGGGAAATAAAACAGAAATATTTTATATAAGAATAATGACAGACCTAGTAGCCCCCCCCCCCCTAGTACTGTATAGACTACGCCAGAGATAACTGTGAAGGCTATTTGCCGCTATGTAGGCATGCCAATGCTGGTACTTCGTTCTTTTAAACTGCTATCAGTCTTCTCATCCCATTGATTAAACAGCAAATTAAAATGTACGCATACTGTAACCGTAGTTGCTTTCTCTCATTTCACATGTTTCCCACGTGCACAGCCCGCCGGCCATCACAAACAAACAAACAAACAAACGAACGAACGAACGAACGAACGAACGAACGAACGAACGAACGAACGAACGAACGAACGAACGAACGAACGAACGAACGAACGAACGAACGAACGAACGAACGAACGAACGAACGAACGAACGAACGAACGAACGAACGAACGAACGAACAAACAAACAAACACGAACGCATATTTCATCCGGTTGATTTGCATTTCAAAACCGGTCAAATTAACCCGCCACACAACCGAACAATACTCTCAGGTACCAATACAAAATAACACAATATTGTAGTAGCTACTTCTCTATTAATATTTAAAAATCATGTCTTCATTTCTGAGAAGACGCGTATTTTGATTGGGTGTAAAAATAGCTCGCGTCATATTTTCGTTTTATGTGGTTGATATTGTCATACTTTATTTTTGTTGTCATACTTTATTTTTAGTTAGTATTGTTATTAATCGGTTATTAATGGGTCATTGAGGTTGTTACAGGCTTTTGTCTGTTTTGTTAATGAGTAATTAAAATTATTTCACTTCCTGAAAGCATTCATTCGGTTTGGATCTTTAAGACACGTATATCTGTGTATTACTGCTTCATTGGCGTTTCAACTCTGAGAGCATCGACAACCGAGTCGACAAGCTGTTACAGTTTCTCAGTATTACAAAGGCTTGTTTATAAATTATTTGGCTTTGAAATATTGAAAGATTTAACGCGATTCAGTGTTATTTTCCAATTTCGATGCTTCGCTAAGCCTAAGCCTAAGGTGAAATCTGTGAATAATTTATGTACCGACAGTGCTGCGAGACAACTACTGATAAAACGTAAAAGCATATCAAGCTTCTTAAAACAATATCTTGTTCCTCAATCGTTTAGTAAAAACAAGGTAAGACTTCCATACGCGGAAATGTTGAAGAACTAGCCTTCACGTTTTTCGCTGCCATGAGTTTTTTTTGCTCTTAAGCGAGCATACCGAGCGCGATTCGCGCTTACGCGAAAGCAGTAAACAAATTATTCGAGCAAGTCATTACGCGTAACGAGCGATATTTTAAAAATTTTAAAAAAATTCGAGCATTTCTAATGTAACCTTTCGCGTGACGCAATTAATTCAATCACACTGCAACATATATTCATGCAGATCGATACCCACACTAAATCGGGTCGTTCAACAACCTACCCAAATTGGCCTCGATTCTTTGGAAATATTCACAGCATCAAGAACATAAAGTAGTTTGTTCAAATTCGACTTTCATTAAAGATCGACTGTCTCTTAATCGATTGGTGAGTGTAGTGTATATTTTACTCCAGAGTTGTGTATTTTAACATAGGATATAAATTAAATAAAATTTTTTGTTAAAAATATGCTATATCGGCAAAATTTCTATACTTTATGCAAGTCACATTGGAAAATGATGAACGACGTAAGCATATCATTAGTAGGCTATAAACAAGCGGTATGCTTTAATGTTCATAATATACTCTATAATCATTCATCAAATACCAATACAGGCACATATGAAAAAACGTTAACGTCAGCACTTAGCTATTCAGTTTCTTCCCTTGAAATGTTTTATAAATATAACCGCGTGTTTATCTAGAATTGAGTATTGGTTGACTGCAGTATATATAATCCTTAGTCGCTGTTGTTACAGTTATATATAACCATGGGTATTATTAATATCTACATTGAGTTAATTGTTCTATATTAATCAAATGTGAGTACGGGCCGTCTGGGCTGCGAGGGTCCCAGGAACTACTCGCTGTATTAGCCCAACCAATTTAGTATGAAAGACTACATACTTGATACTTTTCAGTGAGTTTTCAATCATACGTTTGACGGACTGAATTCCTGCTTAACTATAGCATGTAAATTTGAATTGTATGTATTGTGCTGCATCAGGTCAAGTTGTCTTAATTTAATTAAAGCAACACCAATCGGAAAGCGTATGTGATGATGATTAATGGACAATTTGCATTATAGACTAAATTTTGATCTAGACAAAAATTTCATCACAGCTTGAAAGAGCATCACAAAATTAGTAATATTTCAAAGTTTCGTTGTGAAATGTTGTAAAATGCGGATAATTGCCTTGCGAAGTTTGCCGTTTTTCAGTCATTTTGTATTACGCACGGGAAATTGACAGCCCAATCGGGTGTTGGGGCATCAATTTCCAAGTTTGTAATACAAAATGACTGAAAATTGCAAATTTCGCAAGGCTATATTATCCGCATTTTACAACATTTCGCAACGAATCTTTGGAATATTACTAATTTTGTGATGCTCTTTCAAGCTGTGATGAAATTTTTGTCTAGATCAAAACTTAGTCTATAATGCAAATGGTCCATTAACACCACAAGCTGCCTAAATTACAAGTATAAGCAATATACCAATTTTGTATCAATAAGCATTATACCAATTTTGACATTATTTTTAGTATGGTATATATTTATTGATAGGCATATTAGTTAATATGATTTGATTTGTGGGGTTCAGAAGAGTCTTATCGAACCTATATCGAGCTCGTTTTCATCGTTTCGCTGAACTTTTAATCCACTTAAAATCTAGTCCATACTTGCTGCGTATATGATAAGATACTTGACTACGGTTCTAGTGAAAAGGAAGTACCAGAATTTTTTTAACGCATATATTTATCTTTCAACAACCTACTTGGCCTCGATTCTTTGGCAATATTCACAGCATCTTCAAGAATGTTCGTTCAAATTCGACTTTAATTAAAGATCGACTGTCTCTCAATTAATCGATTGGTGAGTGTTGTGCATATTTTATTCCAAACTACCTATATGTTTTTAATATGTAGGATATAAATCAAATAATTTTTTTT